AATTGGGTTTGGATGAGTTTGATTGAGTTTAAGTGAGTTTTGATTGAATTTAATCGAATTTAACTTTTAACGGATTAATATCGTAACCCAATCTATTTTTAAAATCAACTCTAATTCAACTAGTTGAACTAGTTAGATTGAGCCAAGTTTCAAAACATTTGACTAAACCTCCAATTTAATTCCTCTATTATTGTATAGATCTCAAGCTCATCTCTCAACCAAGAAAATCTCTAATTGAGTCCCTAAAATTTTATAATTTGGTTCCAAATTCATCCTCTGTTAATATTTAACTGATATAACTGGCATCGTACACAGCTTTGCTCAAGAATTGACTTTGCTGCCCAAATACTTTTCCATGTGAAGCTAAGATTATGCCCCTCCTTATCTTGCAAAAAATTCATTCTTCTAAAGTATGTGGCTTTCAGAACTCTCGCAGCTAAAGAATTCAGCTCCACCATTAATCCCCACCCTTGCTTTGCTAGTAGGGCCAGGTTAAACTCATGGATAGACCTAAAACCAAGGCCCCCCACTCTTTCGGCTTAGTTTATTTCCTCCACTCCATTCAATGTATTTTATGTTGATCTTCACCACCAACCCACCAATATCTAGCCATGATTTGTTCCAGATGGGTACACAAGGAAATAGACAATTTAAACAGGCTCATCATATATGTGGGCATTGCCTATAAGATTTGATTTAATCAGAACCATTCTCTCAGCCTGTGATAAAGTCTGTGTTTGGGCTCAACGGGGTGTCAAAGATTTTTGGGCCAAGCTTACTTGCATGGCATTCCGATCAATCTGGGTCTCAGAGGCCTAATTAAAAAGGCCCAGATGCAGACCACAAGTGTGATTTTCTTAAATTAAATTGAATGTGGGCTGGGTGTGGGTCAGCGATCAAACATGGTGGTTGGTGGACCATGATCCGATCCCAGCAGGAGGGCCCACAACTCGTCATCAAAACTATTAGTTTAAGGGTAGGAGTCCTTGTGGCCGAAAGCTATAAAGGACAATCTCATCTAATGATATTCGAGTTTCATCTTTGTATTTAAAAAAAAGTTTAAAAGAGAGTAATTAGAAATAATATTTTTATATAATTTTTATATGTTATTGAATAAAAAAATATATTTA